ATTTGGTGACTAGACGTTAGACGTAGTCCGATGCCATGGCAACGGGCCTGGGCGTGCGGAAATTGTTTTGTAATTTTATTGAGGTTAAAGACGCAAAAGAAATTTAATTGTTTAATGTATAAGAAGTGATTTAATATAAGTTAATGTTTATTATTTTTTACAATGTTTTAAAAGTCTAAAACCTATCCTCCGTGACTGACGTGGTAAAAGCATACTAAAAATATCAGTTCACTAAGTAAATTAAACACATCCAAAGCAATCGAATCAAATATAAAATATTATTAAAAATTAAAAGAAATAATTTTTATAACCATTTATATAGGTGTTACAAAAATTGATTCTATCCTCCGTGAATCTGTTTTTTCTTTAAATTTAAATGTAAAATTTGTAATGAATATTTCCTAAATATTATTATTCTATAATCTAGGTATTATATTCTAATATAGGTACCTAATTAATTCTATTTTATTTCAGTTTTAAATCGGAAAGAAATGGATTTTAGGTGAAGTACCTGTTTTATTGCCAATTACACGTATTTTCCATTGTAGTGGGTTGTACACAATTTTTTTAAAATTCTGTAATGGTCACACTAGAGCCCCTTTATTGTACAACAATTCGTTTAGGGTAATTTGGGTCAATATGTACCCTACAGCAAAAGTTAAGCAGAGGTATTTGTAAAAAGTTGCAGACAATTGTGGTGACTCCAGTGACACCATGTAACCTCCAAAAATGGTTGAGGTAGGTTGGTTTGTTATATACCATGAATTTGCTACGTGATTGCTTGTTGGTTTTTACGAGGTTCTTTTAGATATACCTAGTCTGCAAAGCCATTATTAAACTTTCAGCAAAATAAATAAGTAACAATTTTATAACATTAGAAATTAAAAGTGGAGGGGAACCCGACTCAGGTAATAATTACACAGCCCCACAAAAAAAAATCGATGTTTTTGGGGTCGCAGAAACCGAATCCGGGGCCCGTTTAACCCCATCACATCAGGTTTTCGAAATAACCTCAAATAACCAATAATCCAATCTAAAGCCCTTTTAAACCCAAATAAATCGCCTTATAAAACACTTCTAAGTGTTTTATAAGGCCATTTATTTGGGTCATCTAAAGATGGATATATTTATTTACCTTCAAAATTTACAAGGCGTGTCAACAAAACAGTATATAAAAATATAATTAATATATAATATTATAAAATGTACAACGGGAATTGTTAAATTTCGCGGGTTCGGAGGGTCCGGTTGTCATAAAATGTTCTTTATTATGTTGGTATACATGCCCCCGAAGTATGATAAAAACTTTAGCTGTTTTCATTGTTCACTTTGTCTGAGGCAGCCGCTAAGGTTAGACGTGTTGTATGAGCTCGGCGATTTTACGTTCGTTAAAAGAAATGGATCAAAGAATTTGTATCCAATTTTGCTTAAAAAATGAAATAAATTCTGTGAAATGTTAACAAAGGCCTATATTGAGTCTGTTATAAGTAAAACAAGAGTTTACAAGTGGTATAAGAGTTTCCAAGATGGCCGTGAAGACGTTGAAGATGACGAACGCCCCAAACGAACAAGCACATTAACAACCGATAAAAACATGGAAAAAGTGGAAGAAATGGTTATAAACCATCAGAAAAGTCGCTGATGATGTTGGTATATCGATTGGCTCATCCCATGAAATTTTTTCGAATGTTTTGGTTATGAAACGCGTGACAGCAAAATTTGTTCCAAAATTGTTAAATTTTGAACAAAATTTTTGGCCAAAAACAATACTGTAATGATGCCCCAGCCTCCATATTCGCCAGACATGCCTCTGTCTGACTTTTTCCAATTTCCAAAAATAAAGAGAACCTTAAAGGGCCGTCGTTTTGCAAGCATAGATGACATTAAAAGCGCATCGCTGAAAGAACTAAAGGCTATCCCAAAGATCGAGTTTTAGAAGTGTTGGAAGAAGAGCTGGCACATGTGCATAATATCCAATGGGGACTATTTTGAAGGCGACAACATTAATGTAGACGAATAAATAAATATTTGTTTCAAAAAACGAAAATTCCCGATATTTTCTAAAACACACCTCGTATGAATAAAAAACGCAATAAATTAGTCAGAAGTCTGGATAAATGGTCAATGTTTTCAGTATTTACTGAGGCTTGGTTTTTACGAGCATGTTAATGCTAGAGAATATTTTTTCCATAAAAGTTGGCGTAAAACGTTTTGTGACTCGGCAATCAACGTTTATCAGTAAAGTGATATTTGTTTGTGATTTTTGCATCCGAAAGTTATTGGTTGACAAAAGATAATAATTGTCTTATTAAGTTTTTAAAATCAATAATGGCCTATGCTTGTGATTCATAAGGCAACAATATACCAAACAAGTATTTGATTAAACCAATGTGGAATTTACAAAGTACAACAATAAAGAAAAAAGGTATATCATTGAGTACCTACAAATTGTCAGCTAAAATGTGTTTAGGACAAAAGCACACTACCTCCTTAAAACCTATTTCACTTAGCAGGTTTTATGACAGCTGTAAGGTAGGTTTTATGGCTGCTGTAAGTTGTGCCTTAGGAGTAATACAATAAAGCAAAGTTGCTTTGTGGCTGACACACAAGCTGCTCCTAAGGACAGCGATAGGATTCTCCTTTTTGGCCCTATGATGGTTTTATCGAAGCTGTATAGCTGCTGTTAAAGCAAATAGGTTTTAACTAAACAATGCAAATTACCCTTAAGAGTAGTTTTATAGAACTCTTGTTTACCTTAAAAACCTATTTTGCTACTTGGTAGGTAGGGTTCTTTGGTTATGAATTTATGGGGTTCACTATAAAAGGTTATAAAGTTATTGTGAATAAACAGCTTCGGTTATAAGGTTTTTGGTTTTAAAAAGGCTTAATAGTTAGGATTATTAGGTTATTTGAGGTTATCTTGAAAACATATTGTATACCCTGATAGAAAAATTTGATTTTAAGAATCTTTTAAGAAGATATGACCCGGAATAATGGAATATTCTTAGAACCTTCCCTTATTGCTAAGAATGTTCTTAGGGACTTTTAAAACATTCAATAGATACCCTTTTAATGATGCAATTAGATTCTTAGAAGCTTCTTAAAACCTTCCTAAAAAGAATTCTAAGAACATTTTAAGAATACGTTTTTGGAATGTTCTTAGAAGGTTTCTTATGGAGCTTCTAGGAAGCTTTTGAGAATATTTCCAAATATGTCAGATAACCACGTTCTAATATGTTGTATTCTACATTCGTAAAATTCTTCAGGAGACGACAAATACGCCTCACTGTCATAATATGACAGTAAAATGTATTTGTCGTCCCCTTAAAAAATTTTGCGACATATTAATATATATTTATTTAAAAATATGAAATAAACAATTTGTCTTCTAAACCATAAGTTATATGACATTATTTTATAAAAAGTAAAATTGGAAAATTTTGTGGGATAATTTAGATTAGATTGAAGTTGAAGATAGTTAGGATTAATAATTATTATACATAAAAATGTTAATTTTGAAATAAAAAATCGGTATATAAATTAATAAATATTTATTTTTAACATAAAATAAAATACCTATGGTAAAAGTATTTTTGTTATCGAATATTGTTTTAACTATAAAAAAATATTTTGGATTGTATTTTTTACTTAGTATTTAATACTAATTACTAATTAGGTACTTAAATATAGGTATATACCTTTATACGTAGTTTATGGTATATTTTACTATTATATAGGTAACTGAACTAAATATGCTTAACAGGAATATTCCTAAATGAACTTTCTATAGCAATTACTTTCTTAACATTCTAAGCATATGTTTAGAGTAGACTATTTTTTACCACTAAAACTTTGCACCTTCTAAGAACCTGCCTCTAGGCCAGTAAGAATATTCTTAGGATCATGCTATATGTCTTTTAAGCATGTTCTTTAGAAGAAATATAGCACGATCCTAAGAATATTCTTACTGGAAGGTTTAAAAAACATTCTTAGAATAAAGTGTGCTATCAGGCCATATCATCGATTTTATTTTGTGGGGCTGTGTTATTAATCATAAAATCATATTATTGATTGATTTGATAACGTTCCCTAAAACGACGTGAATGAATATGCGAAACACTTATTACATGTTAAAACAAGCAGGTGCCAACGTCAATATTTACAACATTAAGGACACCCAGCTTACCAACAAATTCATGCAAAGGTTTTTAAGTATTGGTGCTTGATCAAAAAATTAATATTGGATACTTTTTGGCACCCAAACGTCGTGCTTCTTGCAATGGTTTTCTATTATTTTCTGTGTCTTCTATAAAAGGCATGGATACTTACTATTACTTTTGTTTCGTTATATGACAAGATGAGAAACCTTTGGTTACTCGTCTTGAGAAGTAGGATGGTGTAGGTAACATTAAACATAGACAAACTTTATTAAGAACATTTAAACAATGGAGAGAGACAATTTTGTAAAAAAGTGATGTTTAAAGCAAAGAAGAGGTGTAAAATAAAACATGTATTATTTTGGTAGGTTTGGATTCCTTTATTGCACCACAAATTTGACATGGGTAAACATCAAACATTGAAGAATACCGATATAAGCATGCGCTACTTAAATGTAGAGTATACATGATAAGTATTAACATTGATCGAAAATCAATGATACTAATAAATAGAGTCTTAAATGGCTAACATGCACTAGTTTTAAACCAGGTACCTGTGATTGGCCCTGCTCAGTGATTATTAATACTTATATGTAACGTAGTTTCGGGCCCATACCAGCTTTAGAAAGAAAATTATATTGTTGGTCAGATTTGTTATTCCAAAATTCTGATTACATAGGTGATTATTGTCCCGTCACAATAATCTTCAAGGGAGCATGCGCTCCCGAAGTCAAAAAATTTGCGGAGACGACATGAACACATACTAACAGCATACAATATGGATAGTCTTTTTTGGATAGATAGATAGATGCTTAATAATATTGATGACAACGATAAACAAGCATAAACATTAAGGTCCCTGCTTTAAGCACACCAGGCTTGCCCAAATGATGTGTTTTGATTGGCTCAGCAATTCTCCTAAGTAGACTCAGTTTCGCGCCTTAATATTATTTGCTAAATGTTACACAACTAACTAACTGTATTTGGTGAGTAGGTATAGACATTGAGGATACATGTTGATAAGTGGCAATCATTATTAACCGGGCTTTGGGATAGGAACGCTTATCTAATTCGTATAAAAATACTTTTTAAATTTGTTTCGCCTAAAGAAGGGGGCTTCTTATTGCCTTGTCTCTTTTATTTATTTGTTTTAGAAAGGATTCAGTGCAGCCATTCACAAAAATCCCAAACAAGGTGCCCCCAGATTAATTTAGAATATACATTTACTGACGTCCCTATCAAATAATACAAAAAATATATTCAAGTTACATATACAATGTAATAACATTATTATTTTCCTATACGCTCCCAGAGCAACTTTGTACAATCTTGCGTCTCAAACAATTATTATTATGATTATCAAGACATAACTTACACTTGAAAGACTTCTTTGCAAACCTTACAGTTTAATATTTACTCCTCCTCCTCTTCGTTCTGATATGTCACATACCTTACCGACGAATTTTCTCCAGTTATTAGAGACTGTTGAGGAAAACATTATTAGTTTGGATTACACATGGATACTTTTCAGAAGTAACTTCCCAGCTCTGTATGCAGTTACCGGCAAAAGTATGAAACAAATTAAAGGCATGTCGAAGATATTTCAAAACCTGGCCGTCCAAATATTAGTGAAGACACTAAAATTGACATTTTGTTACGTGTGAAAGAAGATCCTCACATTGCTTCTAGCCTATTCGCAGCTAAAAGTCAAGTCAGCCAAAGCTCAGTATTACGACTTGTGAAGAAAGAAAAGTACCATATTCTTTGGAAAAAATATCACATGTTTTAGTGAATTTGTTTCATATACGGAAGTATACTTTTGCCGGTGACTGTATATATTAGGGTGTGTCATTTTTAAGCAACTATTTTTTTTCAGCTATAAACAGGCTAAAAACTTTTAAGAAGGTGAAAAAATAAACCTCTAAAAATTTGAGCTCTTAATATTAACATTAAGTGGTGCCTGTTTCTAACTTTCCATTTAAATAACATGGACAATTTTTTTTTCTTTTTTCTTATTTTTGTAGCTTGAGCATTGTAAAAACGAACTAAAAAATTGTTTTGGTAGGAAATTGAACGCTCTACAAAAAAGTTTTAATATATTTTTTCATAGAGTGAGCCGTTCTGAAGGTATTCAAACTTAAAGTTGCCTTTAACATTTCGAATCGCGGCACGTTAGCTTGCCTCTAGTCACTGTGTAATCCGAACGGTAATATACCGACTGAGCCGATATAATCTTTTATCAGAGTTATCGACTTTAAAATTATAAAAAATAAAGAAGGATTAAAAATTCAATACAATAACAAATTCATTGTTTTATTTAATCTATTATAATTATTGAACAAATTTATTGAACACAAATAACTTTTTTTGATAGTCAATAAAATAAAATGGAAAAAAATTGAGATGTAAGTGTTATTTTCTTTCTATACGAAAATAATAATTTTTTCTTAAAATAATTTTTAAGAAATAAAAATGTATTAGTTTAATAAAATAAAAGTCATAATTTCATACATTTGCAAGTTTGAATACCTTCAGAACGGCTTACTCTATGAGAAAATAAATTAGAACTTTTTTGTAGAGCGTTCAATTTCCTACCAAAATAATTTTTCAGTTCGTTTTTACAATGCTTAAATGTCAAGCTACAAAAATAAGAAAAAAGAATTTTTTTTCCATGTTATTTAAATGGAAAATGGAAAGTTAGGAACAGGCACCACTTAATGTTATTATTAAGAGCTCGAATTTTTAGAGGCTTCTTTTTTCACCTCCCCGGAAGTTTTTAGCCTGTTTTTTAGTTGAAAAAAAAAGTTGCTCAAAAATGACACACCCTAGTATATATATAACAGTAGTTTACAAAATGGAAAAAGAATTCTGCTTACCATATCCCATTATAATTTTCCCATGTATTATGACCCACTAAACACGCGTTTTTGAAATAGTTTTTTTCAATTTTCTGTGGTGTTTTGACGTTTTTGAGTATAGCTTGAAATCTGATTGATCGATTAGGTCAAACAAGCCCTTAAATTGAAGGTATTTGAGCCCCCTAAAACTTTGAATTTTTTTTCGTGAATCTGACATTTTTACAAAAAAACAAGCTAATATTAATAAAAATACATGGAAAAATGGCGAAGTTATGAATTTTTTAGTGAAAGACCAAAATTCAGCTTTTTGACAATTTTTCTTTTTTTTTTTCTTTTACTGATATTTTTTAATATTTCAACAAGGTATTTTTATCATGGTTTTATTTAATTCACAAAAAGTGTAAAATGAGTAAAAAAAAGTAGAGAGTTCAAGTGCGCAAATAACCCTCACAATCTGGGCGACCTAAGTGATGAGCACGGAGAACGTTTTCACCAGCAAATGAAGGCTATGGAGCGGCGGTATCACGGTTTCTGGGATGCAGCCATGATGGGTGATTACATTTGGTCCCTCATATATCATACGAGAATCGGAATATGAAAGCAACAAAAAACAAAGAAGGAGCCAGAATTTGTCTAAACCTATGCTTATAACAACAAAATAAACAACTTTCTTCAATGTTCAATATTTATTGTTTAATATTCAATATATTAAAGAAAAACTGAATTTTGGTCTTCCACTGAAAAATTCATAACTTCGTCATTTATCCATGGATTTTTATAAACAGCAGCTTATTTTTTTCCTTTAAGTATAATCTATACGTAAAATAAATCAAACTGCACTTATCTTTCGATTTCCATCTTTCCCAGAAAGATATGTAAATTTTCGACCTTGATTTTTGTAAAAAAAGGACTTTTTCAACTTCATAAAATCGCCAGTATCGAACTACTGAGCCGATACCAAAACTATACATGAGAAAGTTGTAGATGGCTCAATTACCTTTGATTTAAGTGCTTGTTTGGTCAAATCGATCAATTAGAACTCGAAGTATACTCTAAAACGTCAAAACACCTCAGAAAATTAATCTCAAAAAGGCTTCCATGAAAAAAATTTTAAGTGTGATTTTCGCGTTAGTGAGCCAAACTACACAAGAAAATCATAGTGAGACATGGTGGGCAAAATGGCTGTAAACTAGTGTAATAAACATTTAAATAATATATGTATCTTAACTGTATAATGAAAGGAAAAAATTGCTTTTTTAAATAGGTTTTCTAAAAAATCCTTACAAAATAAAGTTGAAAATGAAAATGGTGTTTAAATTGGTAAACATATAAAGGATGTGATACCATTTGAGGTTATTATATCCACTTACTTTTTTTTCTTCCTTGGTCGGCGGACTCTTCAAGAAGTACAAAAGGGGGGCGTAAAGGAAATTCAGAATGGCAATTCCAAAAAGCATCCATTCGAAGCCAATATTTTTTACCAACGTTCCACTCATAGCCGGGCCTGAAAAAACACATTTAAAAAAAAAAATTAAGTTTGCCTATCTTAGAGTTAACATCATGATTTTATTTGTAGATAATTGTATTTTCAATATATTTGTACACTAGGGGTCACCTATAATTAATTTTTTTAATAAAATTTGAATTTTTTCGATAAACTTCAGTGAATTAAATATTGTACCACTTTAATTTGAACTATCTTATAGTTAATTTGGGGGAGCAGGAGGCTTGGGGACACACTTAAAAACTAACTTTTTTCGCAAACTTCAATTTAAATTCTGCTTGCGCAGAACTTGTCTCTATAATGTCATTATAAACACATATAAATTTAATGTGGGTCCCATGTCTAATAACTGAGATATGGGTGTGCCCAAAATCCACCAGCCGCCACTTACTAGTTCGTATTAAACAACGTTAAAAGAATTATTAATTTAAAGTTCAAAAATTACATTGAAAAAATAAACAAATGTAACAAATAAAACAAATGTAAAGAAATTGTTCAATGTATCGCCAGTGTTGTTTACGACACATACGAGGTGTGTTCAGAAAATAACGGGAATTGTTAAATTTCGCGGGTTCGGAGGGTTCGGTTGTCATAAAATTTTCTTTATTATGTTGGTATATATGCCCCCGAAGTATGATAAAAACTTTAGCTGTTTTCATTGTTTACTTTGTCTTTTTGAGCTCGGCGATTTTTCGTTCGTTAAAAGAAATGGATCAAAGAATTTGTATCCAATTTTGCTTAAAAAATTAAATAAATTCTGTGAAATGTTAACAAAGGCCTATAGTGAGTCTGCTATAAGTAAAACAAGTGGTATAAGAGTTTCCAAGATGGCAGTGAAGACGTTGAAGATGGCGAACGCCCCGAATGCACAAGCACATTAACAACCGATAAAAACATGGAAAAAGTGTAAGAAATGGTTATAAACCATCAGAGAAGTCGCTGATGATGTTGGTATATCGATTGGCTTATCCCATGACATTTTTTCGAATGTTTTGGTTATGAAACGCGTGGCAGCAAAATTTGTTCTAAAATTGTTAAATTTTGAACAAAAATATACTGTAATGATGCCCCAGCCTCCATATTCGCCAGACATGCCTCTGTCTGACTTTTTCTATTCCCAAAAATAAAGAGAACCTTAAAGGGCCGTCGTTTTGCAAGCATATATATATGACATTAAAAGCGCATCGCTGAAAGAACTAAAGGCTAACCCAAAGATCGAGTTTTAGAAGTGTTTCGAGTATTGGAAGAAGAGCTGGCACATGTGCATAATATCCAATGGAGACTATTTTGAAGGCGACAACATTAATGTAGACGAATAAATAAATATTTGTTTCAAAAAACGAAAATTTCCGATATTTTCTAAACACACCTCGTATACTTCAAGTTAACCAATGTTTGTAGAAGCACCCATATATTTAAATTTCTTGATTTATTAATGTCACGTTTTTACAAGTTTCTCCTGATATTTGGCAAATGTAATTCTAAATAAGCTAACGTGTTAATACTCCGCAAACTTGTTGATAACAGATATCGTGCGTTTAAATTTTAAATTTTTATCCGCCACGCATCTTAAGTAGACCACTCGGTACACTTGTTGCGCAATAATGCTTTCCCTAATTTTTGCGGCTTGGTTTTTGTTGGTTCTTTTGGAATTGCACCGTTTTGTTTCCTACTTTCCATTCATTCTGGTCTCATTTATTTACGTGTGTTACGCGTACATGTTATGTTAACACAATTTGATTTTTATAAATTTGAATTTTTCCCTTGATCGATCATGCACTTAATGGCTACGTTAAAAAACCAGTTAGTATAAACAATGGATTATAAATAAAAAGTTCGAGGCTGAGTAGTTTACATATTTATGGATACAAAATTACTAATATTATATGGGTGAATCTTACGAAATGTCCCCCGATGGTGTTACCCCGTGATATTTAATAAAACTAAATGAGTTTGACCTACACTTTTATTGTGTTTTGATCTTTCATAATTAAGTAGATATTACAGCTCAGGTTCCAGATTTTTGAAATCAGATTATACATTTTCGAAGGTTTTTGATGGGCTGAATTTAAGTCCAACTTTTTGAGAAATTCTTATCCAAAAGTACAAGATCGAAAATAAATAATAATTAAAAAAAAGTATAGAAAATGACATTAAATATCGTTTTTTTCTAAAAAGCAAGTAAATCAAAAAAAAATTAAGAAAACAAACGTTTGGCTGAACCTAAATCAGACCAAAGGTCAGATATGACCTGGTTTTTTTATTAAAATTTTGTTGGACCATAAAAACTATTCATCAGAAAAAATGTTCCAACATAACAAAATCAACATACCTATATACCTGAGTGAATCTCACGAAATGTCCCCCGATGATGTTACCCCGTGATATTTAATAAAACTAAATGAGTTTGACCTACACTTTTATTGTGTTTTGATCTTTCATAATTAAGTAGATATTACAGCTCAGGTTCCAGATTTTTAACCGCAATTAATTATTTTTTACAATGCTTTAAAAGTCTAAAACCTATCCTCCGTGACTATTACTCTTTCTAGGTTAACTTATATATTTTTAAATATCTGAGGTAGTAAAAGAATATTAAAAATATCAGTTCACTAAGTAAATTAAACACATCCAAAGCAATCGAATCAAATATAAAATATTATTAAAAATTAAAAGAAATATTTTTTATAACCATTTATGTAGGTGTTACAAAAATTGATTCTATCCTCCGTGAATCTGTTTTTTCTTTAAATTTTATGCAACGAATGGAGCTTTAATCATTTTAAATAAGCAAAAACCTCTGTTTACGACATTATAGATGCATGTGATTCCTCAGTTCCTCAGTTAGAATTTATATGCAGATGAGAGTGTTGCTGTTTTATAATTCAAAAGTTTAAGTTCATTAATTTGCCAGTTAAAAACCTATCCACCGTAAAGTGTAATATCTGAGTAAGTAAATTTTTTTTATAAATATTTTATGTATGTACAAAAAAATATTAAGCAGTCAAAAGATACAATATCCGCGAAGCTCTAATATTCAAAATGTATGATTTCTTAAAATTCTTGCATTAGTGCAGAACCACTTATGTTATGTTATTACTAGACCTGGTGGCTTCCCAAAAACCCCATTCTAGACTAACAGTGAAACAACCAAAAATAAAAAATAATTATTTTCACTTGGGGGACATCTCAATATATTCACCCCTATAAGTTTTCTGAAAAGTTTTTTAAACTGGACTTGTCATTCTTACCGATTGCAAAGCCAAGGCAGAAGGCTACGTCTCCGATAGCGTAGACACTTCCGTACACAGCAGAATGTCGTATGTCAACCAAATATCCCAACTCAGGCATCATGGAACTATCCACCATTCCTATAGCGAATCCCAGACCAGCGTTTGGTACTATTAGATGGTTGATATTTGTTGCTAAAGGTATCTGGAATAATTAGTAATTATAAAAAAAATAAAATGACTGTCCCCTTCCCAGACTGCAATGAAGGTTCGAAAATATTCCAGGAATATTCCCTATCGCCTAGGAATAATCCGCTTTATTCTAGGAATATTCATTGGGAATATTCCTAGAATGATCCTCTAAAACTTCCAAGCATCATCTAAGAATATTCCCAGTGAATATTCATTAGTTTAGTTGCAATACCTCTCACCGTTGCTTACGCACGCTTGATAACTATATATATACCGATAGGTTAATAATATTAGTTGGAGATGTGCGTCTGTGATGGCACAGCCAAACAATGATTAGAGTGGGACTGATCTACTCAGTTACTCAATAATGGCTTTACTTAAGTTAAGTTCCTGGGTATAAGAGGCAATAAGGGCTGGGAATAATCCCCAAATTATATCAAGGAATATTCCCCTAACAATCCTTGAGTCTTCTGCAGGCAGATATATGGAATATTCTTTTTATGATGCCTGGATTAACCAAAAAGCGGACATTTGATTATGCCAGGAATATTCCTGGGAATATTCTGGGACGATTGGAATATTCCTGGGAATATTCCTGACATGTGCAGGGAATGTGATTTTGCGCTCTGGGTTATAGGGGAAACATGTTAAAACTAATAATTTTAAAATGTTTTAAAATAGTCGTCAATTACTGTTACTATTACTGTTGTTAGGCAGGGAATTTATAATTTTTATTATCATTCACGAAAAAAACAATATTATGCAATAGATACATATTTTTATCGGTTTCTTAAACAATCGTTTAAGTTCTAAATTTGAAAAATCTTATAGGTTACATATGAGTTTTTTACGACTTCTGTTTTGTGGATAGTAGTATTACTATAGTTATATATAAAGGAAAAAAGTAAAAATGAAAAAGTATATGGAATCTTGTACCAAATTCAACAGTATTGACTTTTCTTTATTTTTATTTTCTTTGCTATTTATTTTGTTTTACTGTTTTTGAAACGAAATATTTTTATAATTTATGGAAAAGTTTGATACAACATGTTATAGTTGACTTAAGGTTTTTTTACATTTGCTTATTATATTAGCTAAGAATTTATATTACATATAAATAGTTGTATATAATTATTTATTATTTAAAGTAACACCTTTCCCAATTACCTTAATTAATAAATTATCATAAATAGGTACTAGAAATTTATATAATCTATAAACATAAATTATAAACTAGGTATTTAGAAGGTGAAATTGTTCAATATAAATCAGAAATAGAGGAGTAACATTAAAAAAAAAAAAGATGTTTCCAAAATTTTAATTAATTTTTTAAATTTTTATAAAATCTTTTTCAATTATATTAAAGTAAAAGGTTTTGAAATCATTCACTGCGGTGAGGCGAAAGTAAGTGGTGCCATCTACCGCCTTAAACATATAACATAAAGAACATGTCAAAAGACGGTAGATGGCACCACTTACTTTCGTTTCACCGCAGTGAATGATTTCAAAACATATATAAGGACGAGGAATCATAATTTAGTTTGTGTTCAGAACCATACAGTTAGTTAAACTTGTTAATGCATATTCAAAATGGGAAATGTTTTGATTGACTGCCTTTAATCACGTACTTTTTTAACGAAATAATTTGTTAAGCAATAACAAAACAATCTGTAACCTTTAAAATTAACAAAATGCTTACAAAATGCATATTACCTTTACTTTCGGTAAAATATTTTCCTTTGTTAAAATAATTACAAACCCTTGTTTCTACAAAAAATTATGTTAAAATTTTACAAAATAAAATTAACAAACTCATGTTAACAAATCTTATTTTTATAGCAGTGTAGGTCAAAATTAACAAATATGTTTTTACTATGAAGATGTCAAACGACAGTTTTTTTTAAATACTTACGAGCATCAAACAAACTCCAATGATGATGAGTCCCAGAAGCGCCGCCAGCCACCGTCCCATTCTGTGACCCAGAGGACCGAACAAATTCGTACCAATCAGGTAAGAAATGCTGGCCGGCAAAAAAGTGACGCCCTGCTTCCATCGGTCCGCGTCCATGGTGTCCATCATCCAGATGGGAAGCGAAGGTTCCAGCATTGCGATGCCCATATTTGCAAAAGTTATGGCACCTGAAGGTGGGTAATTTTACGCATAAACAATTCTTCCAGATATGAAGTAAATAATACATTTTTTGAATGTTGCAAACTTGGAAACGTTGCTTTGGGTATACGGGGACTAAAGTGTACCGCAATTAAGCTTGTAGCTTTTAGCTAGTGACCATGGTCACTAGCTAACTGTGATACATGTACGTTGATCTAAGAAATCCATGTCGTTTCCGCTACGAGTTAAGTTTAAATTTCTGTCCAATCGCTTAAATGTTTATAACACAACCTTTTATGATCTTTCCTCGTAATCTGGTGTATGTTTAAATTGTTAAGGTTTACTTTTGGAAAGTTTTTTAGTATCACAATATTTTTCTTGCAATGGGGGTAATTTTACGCTGAAAAATTGGGGTAATTTTGCGCTGCAAAATTTGGCCAATATGGGAGCTTTTGGTACAGCAGCCTAGATTGTTCATCATAAACAGTTCCATTTGGGCACACGCGAAGTGTAGCGTAAAAAACAACCCCTAAAACTACATATGTGACAACTGCTGCATGTATACCCTCCTCTTATTTCTAAGAACAAAAATTTTATTTTTAGTTATTTATTTTTGAACTTGTTTGTTTTGTTTGTTTCATAGAGAAAATAGTTTTGTTTTATTTTTATGTTTTAATATAATAATATTATAGAAATAAACGGTTTATTTAGATACCTACAAATTTTTCTCTATACAGCGCAAATTTTCCCCCTATGATGCGCAAAATTACCCTGATAGGTGGGTAATTTTGCGCAAATGCATTATTTAAAAAAATGTAGTTTTTGCATACCAAACAATTTTTTTTATAAATTGCGCATTATACAGGGTGTTTCAATAAAAACTCCCAGGCCAATTATTTCGAAAACTAAAAGTGACATTTAAATTCTGTAAACGCCAGTTTTTAGTCTCTATGATTGGCTTCACAACTGCGTGAAAAATGTTATTGAATAATACAAGATGTAGGTGGCGCCACTGTGCAAAGAATTTTTTCGATGGCAGGAACTTTTAAATTAATTTTTGATCAAATTATGTCCCATACAAATTTTTGATAAATCCAACATGAAAGGAGATATTTGGGGTTAAGTTTTTTTTTTTTAATAATTTTAACGAGTATTTTAATTATAAATATTTTTAATATGCTTTAGCAGATGATCATTTAATTCTGGTAATCATAATTATAGTGATAAAACGCTCGTGTAGCGTTAACTAGATTAAAATTATAACGTCCAGTGACGCCTCAGGGGGCCCCTTAACAAATAATATTGGCAAAAAATAATACGCCACTGAGTTTTTGGTAATTTTTATATTTTTTTCGGATTAACCAACTAAAAATATCCTTTTTTTGTCTGTTAAATTGTTTTCATATCTTGCTTCGTTTTCGAGAAATAAAAATAAAACCATTTCACTGCATATCTCTGGAAAACAATAATCATTAAATAAAAACAAATGAATTTTAGAAACATCAAGTAAATTTTTCTTTACTTAGTGTCAGTGTAAGAATTTGCAATTTCTACATTTCTAAAATAAAAATGGTTCACCATACAAATCAAGACAAATTGAACATACCTACATGGTTTTAGTTTATGGAGAATGACATCAAAATGCTTCAGAAGCTGTGCGCTGCTATCGAGACCAACGCCAGATCGCAAATCTTTTGTAGCTTTGTGTACCAACTTAGCTTCATATGGTAGCTTTAAAAAGGAAACGGTTCCAAGAAGGAAGAGGGATACGACTGACGAAAATGTAGGTTTAGTCCTCCAATCAGTAAAAAATAACCCACAATCGTCATTACGAAAATTAAAAGATGAAACTAATATTCTAATATTAAAAGATGAAACCAATATTTCAGTAAGTTCCTAAAAGGAAATATGTTTTTTCCATACAAAGTTCATCTAGAGCATCATCTACAATAAGGAGATAACCAGCGCAGATTAAACTTTTTGACACATTTTCATATTCTTTTGGAAGAAAATCCAAATTTATTAAACCAAATTATGTGGAGTGACGAATCCCGGTTTTACAATAATGGAGTAATTAATAATCATAATTGTCGCTATTGGTCCCAGGAAAATCCTAACTGCATACGACAGACTAAATTTTAAACACGATTTGGGGTAAATGTTTCGTGCGGTATTGTAAATGGTTACATATTCGGGCCCTATTTGTACCATGAACATTTAACTTCAGTTCGTTATTTACAATTTCTGCAAAACGATCTAATTTGCTGTTACAAAATTTGGAAATTGACGTTAATACTATGTGGTTTCATCAAGACGGTGCCCCAGCACACAATAGCAATATCGTTATGAATCATCTAAATGACAAGAAAAGTGATCAGCACAAATGAGGATCTTAGATAGCCAGCAAGGTCCCCTGACTTTTATTTATGGGGCGGCTTACAAAATGAAGTCTACAAGGAACCAATAGAAGACATGGCTGACCTTATTAGTTAGTTACACCTCATTCGACCTTATTAGTTAGTTTTTGGTATTGTTCTAATTTTCTTTAATAATTTTTTATAATTTCTTACCACTTTTTCATAAAATTTAAAACATCCTTTACTATAGCCGCTATTAATCAAAATACACTATTGAAAGTTTGCAGAACCGAATTATTATATCGATTTGATATGTGTGTATAAAAACGGCAATAATTTTGAACACCTCATTCGACCTTATTGGTTAGTTTTTGGTATTGTTCTAATTTTCTTTAATAATCTTTTATAATTTCTTACCACTTTTTCATAAAATTTAAAACATCCTTTAATTTTATTTTATTATGTTTTAATGTTTCACCTTTGTTTTTAAACAGCAAAAAATATAGGGTATTAATAATTTATGGTTTTGTTTCTTAATGATTTTTGTTTTTCAAATGGTTTTATTTGTATTTCTCGAAAACGAAGCAAGATATGAAAACAATTTAACAGACAAAAAAAGGATATTTTTAGTTGGTTAATCCGAAAAAAATATAAAAATTACCAAAAACTCAGTGGCGTATTATTTTTTGCCAATATTATTTGTTAAGGGGCCCCCTGAGGCGTCACTGGACGTTATAATTTTAATCTAGTTAACGCTACACGAGCGTTTTATCACTATAATTATGATTACCAGAATTAAATGATCATCTGCTAAAGCATATTAAAAATATTTATAATTAAAATACTCGTTAAAATTATTAAAAAAAAAAAACTTAACCCCAAATATCTCCTTTCATGTTGGATTTATCAAAAATTTGTATGGGACATAATTTGATCAAAAATTAATTTAAAAGTTCCTGCCATCGAAAAAATTCTTTGCACAGTGGCGCCACCTACATCTTGTATTATTCAAACAATTTTTTTACACAGTTGTGAAGCCAATCATAGAGACTAAAAACTGGCGTTTACAGAATTTAAATGTCACTTTTAGTTTTCGAAATAATTGGCCTGGGAGTTTTTATTGAAACACCCTGTATACACATAGTAAACATAGTGGACTATCGCTGGTATTATTTGCAAAATTTCACATTTAAACTTAACAAAGATACTAGAGATTTTGCTTAGATGCGCAGAATTCCCCCACCTTCCCCTACGTATATGCGCGGTGGTCAAAACTTAAGTATAGGACGAACAAAAATGCCAACCAAAACTGATAGCATATTTTGATTATAGACTCTTTTGGTAACACTAACATGTATTTATCAAAATCCCAGCTGATCCTATTTTAAAGTTTTGCAAACTTTTTTGTTTTTCTATTTCTATATATTATTTTGCAATTATTGTACTAAACCTACCTGTACAATTTTAATAAAATTAAGCAAAATAATAAACTTTCTATCATTTAAATTACTTTACTCCCCAGTATTAATTTATTGAGTCACCCATTATTTTTTTACCACTTAAACCAAAACATAACAAAAAAGAACGAAGATTTATATCTTAAATATTTTTTATAACAAAAAATACTGGAAGTTTGTCTATGAAATAATTACAACTTGCAAATTTTGTAAAACAATAATTAAGGTGGTTATAAAAAAAATTGCTATACGTTATAACGCAAGTGACATTTTGCTTTAGTTGTTTATTTAATGTATACTTTATAAAGTTAAAAATAGTATTTTATAATGAAATTCAAGTTAAGCCATGAAGAAAATCGAAAGAAGGTATGTGCAGGCTGTGGAGACAAAATTGTTTTTGGTAATCGAAAAATTCAGAGTTTAGGGTTTCTGAGAAAATATAAAAATGACTGCAAACTTTTTCAAACGAACACTCCAACTTAAGTGATTCCAAATTACCTACTTCAATATGGTAAAAACGGTATTTTTCCATAGCCACAATTGCCAAATTTTCAAAATTTAGAAATTGCTAGAGAATTTCGCGGCAGCCAAGAATGTATGTGCTTTATCTGCAAAATGGCAAGATATAAAGGGCATAAAAAATTGTTAAGGGAAGAGGACGGACGAACGAACTAAAGTTTTGATATATCATCATCAGCATATATGCTCTTCCTTTCTAGGGGATATCGCTAGATGTAAGAAGCATATTTGTACAGAGACTGAAAAATTTAAAAATACTGTTTCCATGTTAAAAACAATTCCATGTAAAACCCAAGAAAAAGGCAAGCAGTTATCGATTTTTCTTCAAAGAATCTTTAGTTATTTATTAGTTTTGTATTAGATACCTTAAAACAATAAATAAGATATTGCAAACTGTATTTTACATTATTTTGTATTTATAATGTAATTTATCCATATTTCAGTCATATATCTGCCAAATTTTTAAAAACATTTGATAATGGTACTGGAGTATTTTATCGAAATGGCATAAACAATTTTAAAATACTAAGAAATATGCAAAACTTTAATAAAGGATCAGCTGGGATTTTCATAAATACATTTTTGTGTTACCAAAAGAGTCTATAATCAGATTATGCTATCAGTTTTGGTTGGCATTTTTGTTCGTCCTATACTTTAGTTTTGACCACCGTGTATGGGACTATTGAAGAAACTAACTAAGTTACGACTAAAGTGGGGAACAATTGACCATATGCAAGGAATGCGGTCGATGTTGCCAATGGTAAAAAAATAAAATTCCCTATTGGGAACATTCAATTATATTACGTTGGCTATATTGAAAATTTGAATTTCCCGCACAAACTAAATTAATTTCCATCTTTTTTTTAATAATAATAAATAATAATAATTTCCACATTTTAAATTCGCACCTTAATTTATTATACAACATTGGAACTACCTTCTTTATCTTTGGGAACTACTAGAATGTATGTCAGTTTGTGCGTGAAATTCAAAATTTCAGTGTAGCCAACGTAATATAATTGAATGTTCCCAATAGGGAATTTTATTTTTTTACCATTGGCAACATCGACCGCATTCCTTGCATATGGTCAATTATTGAGTTCTAAAAAGGTAGCAAGTATGTCACTAGCTATAAACCCTGCTACTATTTGGAACTTAGCTGCTACGTTACTAGAACGTTTCAATATCGTTGCTAGAGCAATATAATTACTTTTATTTATTTGTTTTTACTTCTATATCGTCTTTGTCAAACTTATATTAGATTATACTAACCCTCCTTTTTTAAATGAAACCACTACGGACTTGGCTTTTCAATGTCGTCGTTTATTAAATATGTACTGGTAGTTTATAACTTCCAGAATAACAATGTAATGTTTAATTAGGCAGGTTAATTTATAAACCCATTAAATTTTACTGCTGAACTTATAAACTTAGTTTTTGTAAAATAAATGCGCTTTATCAATATTTAAGTATAAACAAATTATTTATTTAATAATTAATTAATTTTTTATTTAATTATTAATACCGTCTATTACCAACAAAATTACTATTTATTAAAAAGTAAACAACCATTTACAAATAATTAAAATAATTAATTATTTACATTACCACGTGGTACTGTACAGTAAAAAATGGCCGATAAGAAGCATTTTCCTTTGAAGTAGTTTTTGCTACTTTAAAGTTTTATTTACCTTAATTTACTTTACGGTAGTTTTGGTTAGTACCATAAACGTTCCAAATACTAAAATAATAACTTTTAAGTTATTAACTTTGTAGTTTTTAACTCATGTTCCAGTTTCGAGATTTTAACTTGCAAAGGGACTACAAAGTAAAAATAATTATAATGTAATCTTTAGGTAGCAACCGAAAGTAACTGCTACAAATTAAATTTACTTGAAAGTTTTTTTTACTTATAACACCTTTTTTAAAGTTGCAAAGTCTTTTTGGGGGCAACCATGTTTTACTAAAATGTTTATTACTTTATAGTAACCATTTAAGGAAAGAATGAAGTTTCTGTTACAAAATATTGCTATTTAAAAGTTAGAATTACTTTTAAGTAAAAATTAAAGTAGCTGTTTAGTTTACTTAACTAATTTAAAGTTATCACCACTTTGGTAATGGGTTTTGAAACCAAAATGACCACTAAGTTTCAGGTTTTGTCTATTTTAGGTTGGAGATTATTTACCTGCAGCTATTATGATGTAAGGGTCGCAAACAAGAGCTTTCAAAGATGGAGGTTCGCTATCTTGCCTGATCACCGAAGGCTGCAGCATGAGAAGTTGCAACACTGTAAACAACAATTTTTTTTATTATAAATGTACAAAAAATGTTTTTTAGTAATTCCTTACATCCATCTCCAAGAGCCAGCGCTGATAGTATGAGGAATGGCGCTGATTTTCCAACAAATTCGTACATAACCCCTCCAAAGGGGGGACCAATCAGAACCCCTAAGGCAAGACCCCCCAGCGCTATGCCCATAGCATTGCCTCTATCCTTATCGTCCGGGTATCTTTAACAATAAAATTATTAGAAGAACAAATTAAAAAACGATTAATAAACCCAAAGAAGAAAATATGGAAAGTCTTAATTTTGCACCTACCCAGAGAACCATAGTTTGAAATAGAAAAGTCAACTTTTTGCACTTATTGGGGTTTATTTGGACATACAAATTGTATTTACATTAAGTTTGACCAAAAATTGACATACGAGGTGTGTTCAGAAAATATCGGGAATTTTCGTTTTTTGAAAAAAATATTTATTTATTTGTCTACATTAATGTTGTCGCCTTCAAAATAGTCCCCATTAGATATTATGCACATGTGCCAGCTATTCTTCCAATACTCGAAACACTTCTAAAACTCGATCTTTGGGATAGCCTTTAGTTCTTTCAGCGATGCGCTTTTAATGTCATCTATGCTTGCAAAACGACGGCCCTTTAAGGTTCTCTTTATTTTTGGGAATAGGAAAAAGTCAGACAGAGGCATGTCTGGCGAATATGGAGGCTGGGGCATCATTACAGTATTGTTTTTGGCCAAAAATTTTGTTCAAAATTTAACAATTTTAGAACAAATTTTGCTGCCACCCGTTTCATACCCAAAACATTCGAAAACATTTCATGGGATGAGCCAATCGATATACCAACATCATCAGCGACTTCTCTGATGGTTTTCAACCATGTCTTCCACTTTTTCCATGTTTTTATCGGTTGTTAATGCGCTTGTACGTTCGGGGCGTTCGTCATCTTCAACGTCTTCACGGCCATCTTGGAAACTCTTATACCACTTGTAAACTCTTGTTTTTCTTATAGCAGACTCACTATAGGCCTTTGTTAACATTTCACAGAATTTATTTCATTTTTTAAGCAAAATTGGATACAAATTCTTTGATCCATTTCTTTCATTCTTTCTTTCTACCTTAATCCAAACTGCTTTTCCATTGTAGTTGTATACTATTTTTATTATTATTATTTATTAATATTATTATACTATAATAGTAGTATTAAATACCAAAACTAAAATTATAATGTTTTTTTGGTGAAAAGTATCATTTTTTAAAATTTAAGTGTCATTTTTGTAATTACTAATTAAATTGAAAAGGTAACAAAGTAAATGGGTTTCGGTATAAACATTACTCTTCGACTATTATTTGATATTTTTTTATTCACATCATGCCTTAAGTACCTAAAAATAAAAATCTCCAATCTTATTTATCAAGTCTTATCAAAATTTAATATCGAATTAAAGTATAAAGGCGCCTTTATCTACTTTATGTATTTTTACTTGAAAGTGATTTTAAGAACCAAAAATGAAAAAAGAGCAGGAAATGGAAGTGGTAATAGAAGTGGCAGAGAAAGAGAAAGGGGAAGAACCTTTATGTCGTCAAATTTGTTTTGTTTTTGTTGCGCTACCTTTACGCCCAAGAAACACCAACGCAATATTTCATTACAAAATTTTGTGAGATATACCTACTACTTTAATTTTGCAGGAATATTAAATGGACCTTATATACGACGTTTAATGAAAGATCAAGCATTCAAAAATGCTCTCAAATTTGACGAGCTTATCGCATATGGCAGTGTTAAAGCTGTCATTGAAAATGTTTTTGGTTCATATCGGGCCTAAAATTGGCGCCAATTCATTGAAAAAATGCTCTCCGTTTTGTAAAGAATTAGCGTTAATATGTCATTTAAAATACATTTTCTTTTTTTTCACCCTGATAAATTTACCGAACTGATGAACATGGAGAACGATTTCACCAAGTAACTGCAAATCTAGAGCATTGGTAGATCTATGACTTAATTTGGATAAAAAATACAGAAACTTGTTTACTTTGTTGCCCTTTCAATTCAATAAACGACAAAAATGTCAAATAATGTTTTTTTTTACATAAAATACAATTTTAGTTTTTTTTTAGTTTTTTTTTAGCATTTTATTACGAAATTATTTTAAATCCTAGACGTTCTAGAGAACTCAATGTTAGGAAAAAAAGTTTTTAACTATTACTGCAATTCTTGGCCAAGTTTTAACCTGATATGGTTCTCTGGGTACTGTATTATTTGACACAATACAATAAATGAAAACAGTTTTGGCAACCTTGCATTTAAAGTTAATACTCCCAACATAAAAAAAAACGTTTAATTTTCAATCTATGATCTTAGCCTCAAAAGGCAATGTGAAAACATTGTAGAGGGGTTACCTTTCGGCCAGCATGCCCATTCCTGAAACACTCGAGCAAGAAGAGCCAATTCCTTGAAGGGCTCTCGCTATGAACAGAACGCTGTAACTTCGGCCAAATGCAAATACTGAAAACCATTTGTACGTTAGTAATAGACTGTGCTTGAGTAATAAAAATATATACGGGGTCCCACAGATTACATCTATTTTTGTATCTGTATCCAGAATACCATAGTTCAGATATTAATTATGTATACATATTAGGGTGTCCCAAAATAAAAGAATATATTTTTTTTCTTGTCTCTTGTAAAAATCTGTTAGTTTATCATGCTGTGAGAGCCCTTTCAAAATATCAGCTCGATTAAAAATTTTGTAGGGGTCGCTCAAGATTTTTAAAAATTTTCAAAATGGTCAAAAATTGAATTTTTGTTTTATTTTAATTCTTTTTCTCGTCTCGATATTATTTTTTAGGTTGAAAATAATAAAAATTCTGTAAATTTCAAATCAATATTTTGATTTATAAAGGTCGCTAAAAGTTCGTTGATATTTATGTTCAGAGGTCGCTCGAAAACATTCAAAATACTCTACTTTGAAAGTTAAAAAAATCTTGAGCGACCTTTAGAAATAAAAATATCGATTTGAAATTTTCAGAATCATTATTATTTTTAAATTAAAAAATAATATCGGAAAGAGAAAAAAAATTAAAATAAAAAAAAATCCAATTTTTGACGATTTTGGTAATTTTTAAAAATCTTGAGCGACCCCTAAAAATTTTTTAATGGTGCTGATCTTTTGACAGGGCTCTTAAAACATGACAAACCAACATATTTTCACAAGAGACGAGAAGAAAAAAAATATTATTTTTTTTGGGACACCCTAATACATATAAGTACTATGCTCCACACCTCAAAGTCCCACCAACTGACCACGTACGGAACGCAGTCTTTTAAAAATTTGGCATTTAAGGCTTTTCAGGTTATGTATCTGTCAAAGTATATTCGACGAAAGAAATAATATTTTGTTTAGGCGTTAAAAATGTATAAATATTTATAACATTACAATAACAATGGTTGGTTTAAGAATTTAAGAATATATGGTGCCAAATAAGTAATATTTTTGTGCATTTGGTCCAAATATCTGGTTTTCTCCATAAAATAATTTTAACTAAACAGCATTTATTAAAAAAAATCTAGCTTCTCTATTATGGAATAAGAATATCTGTATTAAAGGTAGGTTAATATATTATATATTATAAGGTTAGAAAAATTTATTTCAACCAAAATAAATAAGTATTTTGGATTATTTAAAATACAGTATAATATGGTATTTAAAAATGTGGTACTTTTTCTTATCCAGCTTAAAGTGTACCTACATAAAGTTTTGTCAATACAAATAGTTAAAAAGCTTCGACTGAATTTGATCTACATCGAAAAATCATTATAACTTTAATATTTTAATAAATCACATGTCATGGGAATATTAAATATTTTCACATTTCAAGTTTTTCTAAAAATTGTTTGTTTTCTTATAATCTAACTTAAAGTAGGTATGCCAATTTAATTTGAACCATATTCAACAATTATTTAGTATACCTATATTTATTTATGACCATATTAACACACTCTTTCAAATAATCCACTTATTTATTTTGGTCAAAATAGATTTTTTTTAACCTTAAAATACAAAATTAGATGATATTTTTTGTTCTAGTACATTAACCTACCTTTGATACAGATATTCTTATTTCATAATAGAGAAGTTCGATTTTTTTTAATAAATCCTGTTTAGTTAAAACTATTTTATGGAGAAATGTAGGCCCAATGCACAAAAATATCACTTATATTGCACCTTACACTTTGGAATTTCATTAAATGCAGTATTTATATTCCTAAATTCTTAAACCAACCATTGTTCTTGTGATACTATAAAGATTTATTAACTTTTAACGCTTAAACATAAGCGGTAACACTATAAATATTATTTCTTTCATTGACTATACTTTGACAGATACATAAACTGAAAAGCCTTAAATGCCAAATTTTCAAAAGACTGCGTTCCGTACGTGGTCACGTGGTGGGACTTTGAGGTGTGGAGCATAGTACCTAAGTTAAAATCGTGAGATTTTTGATTATAAATCCTGTGGGAGATGAGCTGCAGGACCCTGTACACACTCACTGAATCACAGTGAGCAGTGAAAGATTTAATTTTGTTTGGTTTGAAGTAGATATGGCGCAGCCGACACGTTTCCATTAGACATAGCCTATTAGTTCTGGCAGCGGAAGTGATTTAATTAGGACCACTTATACGCGAAGCTATCACGCAGCTAATGCATTTGAAAGACTAATAATTTCACTAAAGGAGCTTTACACGTCTCCGATCTTTGTTTGTTATTGAATTACAGAAAATATACACGAGGTCTAATGAGTGACTTTACAAGAGTCAATTCGGTTAGTGCTTTTAAATTTCCTTTCTTGTCAAAGAGTTTGCATTTTAGTTGAGCTGCGAAGGAAATTTAATTTTTCATTAGGCGCAGACTACGCAATCAAATCAAGTAGTTAGATTTTTAAAAATGGCGGGGTTTTACAAGTGCTATTAAATCAAAAACACGAAAACCATGGAACTTCAGGGTTTTAATAAACAATTAACTTAAAATACAGGTTTTCAAGCTTTTTAAATGAAATAATAAAACGAACAAAAACAAAACTAGGAGTTTTAAGGTATAGTAAGCTATAGTAAGTAGTAATTTAAAAAAACGCATAAACTTAGTTTTAATAGAAAAATCGCCCTATTCAATTTAATTTAATTTTTGAGGCTCCTTATAGTAAGGAATATGTTTATTGAAAATCTGAGAATTTTTTACAAAAAAAAATGTTCTATAATAATAATTTTACTACTATATATGTATATATACAGGGTGTTATGTAATTAATGTTATATATTAAAATACTGAATACCGTTTGACATAAGGAGTAAAGAAAAAATATTTTTAAAAATATTTTTCCAAAGATATAGAAAAAATATGCATTGGAAGTTTTTTATATTTTTTGTAATACGCCACTGGTTACACACTTGGTTTATCTCTGCACACTTGTGTTCTGTGAGTACATAGATACCAACCAACAGTATACTATAGCTGCGCGTTGCCAGGTGTAAAAAATTGTTACTAAAATTTTTCTTGCAAAAATTAAATAAAAACTCAATAAATACAAAAGTTTTATGCCCTTAAAGCTCTAATACTCTTCTGTATTTATTTACTCATCCAGCTAATAGCTTAAGCAATGATTATAAAACTTAGTACTATGCTCCACACCTCAAAGTCCCATCACGTGACCACGTACGGAACGCAGTCTTTTAAAAATTTGGCATTTAAGGCTTTTTAGGTTATGTATCTGTCAAAGTAAAGTCAATGAAAGAAATAATATTTATAGCGTTAAAAGTTAACAATAACAATGGTTGGTTTAAGAATTTAAGAATATAGATACTGCATTTAATGAAATTCCAATATAAGTGATATTTTTGTACATTGGGTCTACATTTCTTCATAAAATATTTTTAACTAAACAGCATTTATTAAAAAAAATCTAACTTCTCTATTTTGAAATAAGAATATCTGTTTCAAAGGTAGGTTAATGTATTAGAACAAAAAATATCATCTAATTTTGTATTTTAAGTTTGGAAAAATCTATTTTGACCAAAATAAATAAGTGGATTATTTAGAAGTGTGTTAATATGGTCATAAATAAATATAGGTATACTAAATAATTTTTGAATATGGTTCAAATTAAATTGAATCTTTTATACTTCTAATGACAAAACTTGTGCATACCTCTCGGCATACCTACTTTAAGTTAGATTATAAGAAAACAAACAATTTTTTGAGAAACTTGCAATGTGAAAATATTTAATACTCCCATGACATGTGATTTATTAAAATTTTTAAAGTTATAATGATTTTTCGATGTAGATCATGTTCAGTCAAAGCTTTTTGACTATTTGTATTGACAAAACTTTATGTAGGTACACTTTAAGCTGGATAAGAAAAACTACCACATTTTTAAATACCATATTATACACTCTTTTAAATAATCCAAAATACTTATTTATTTTGGTCAAAATAAATTTTTCTAACCTTAAAATTACAAAATTAGATGATATTTTTGTTATAATATATTAACCTACCTTAAAACAGATATTCTTATTCCATAATAGAGAAGCTAGATTTTTTTAAATAAATGCTGTTTAGTTAAAATTATTTTATGAAGAAAACCAGATATTTGGACAAAATTCACAAAAATATTACTTATTTGGCACCATACACTTTGGAATTTCATTAAATGCAGTATTTATATTTTTAAATTCTTAAACCATCCATTGTTATTGTAATGTTATAAAGATTTATACATTTTTAACGCCTAAATTAATTTTTATATCGGTTTTTTTCTTTCTATTTACTCAGATGAAATTGGGACCAGTTCACAGGTTAAACTTTAAACATTTAATTTGTGTAAATAAATCCAAAAGCAATTCCTTAAGTTAAGATATTTACAATTTAAGCACATAACGTAAAATTTGAAAGAAGTGCACTAGATTATGTCATAAAAGTTCCCAGATTTTGTTTGAATTTACCTTCACTATCATAGTGTAGTAGTAGGCTGATTTTTCACTTGTACTATCCCAAAATTTAACAGCCAATTCTTATGTAAAATTGTCCCCTCAATCAAAATTATAAATGTGGAGCAGGTTTTGAGATATAGTCAATTCCATATTAAATGGAAAATTGACTAAATCTCAAAACCTGTTCTACTTTTTAAACTTTTGACTGTATTTTCGGATTCAGGGGGCAATTTTAACTACGAATTATGATGTTAAATAACTATTAAATTAGCCATTTTTGACTAATTCATTTTTAGATAGTACTTTTTAATTTTGTCCATATGTTATTATATTCTTTGTTTAATTTGTATTTACATTTCTTGTAGTAGTTTTCTTTCACACCCTGTATATATACACACTTTTCATTTTAATTGCCCATTAAAATTTTAATCTTAAGTAGATTTGTTCACTTTCCAAAGACAATCTAAATTTTAAATTAATTAAATAGTGTAGCACAACGGTGGAGAACCGATAAAACTTTTAAATTATTTAATTTATTTAAACCGAACTTCTTGAAATTGTTTCTCTTTCGAATGGATTAATTGCTTAACTACTGATTTATTAATGCTAAAAATGTTATACTTACTTATAGTTGAGAGGAACATTATAATAAAGCCACAGAACATAGGGATGCTGTACCCAATTCTGGAAAAAAATTAAATAGATTTTTTTATATATATTTCGTAATGTTTAACAAATATATTCAATTTTAGTGGTTAAATCTTGAAAGTGTTATTTAATTTTTAAATAATTTATTATAATAAAGAAAATTATAATGAAAAAACTTTAACAAAAAAATGCACATTATTGAAGCCTACAAAGTAAAAACTTAATTAAAAGGACGTCTAAATTAATTAAAGAACAGTTGTGAACTACAAAACGCTTTTCACGGTTCGAGGCGCATATCAAATATCGTCATTGCAATTTGTGTTTGAAAATTGAACGTAATTTTAAGAATAAAACAACTTATTAATTATAAATATTAGGTATATCAATGCACTACTGTGGATATAAAATATACTTTCTGAAAGTTGCTACACAAAATTTTGTAAGCAATTAATAAAATAATATTATTTAACTTAAATTTAAAATTGTAATGGTTATAAAAAAAGGTACCACCTAAGGTACTTTTTTATTAAATTTTCAGTGTCTTATTTGGGACAAAAACCTTCGATTTGTCAAAGTAATGAGATTATTTTTATTTACAGAATAAACTTTTTTACTGTTAATAAAATTCTCATTTACTATAATGAAACAGCAATGTTGAGCTTTTATAAAAAAAAATTTCATTCAACAAAGTAATTGTTCTTATCATATTGTCATGGCAATAAGAAATACTTTATGTTTATATTAAATCTTTGTCGAACTTAAAATGTTTTTGTTAAATCTATAGTTGTGTGTGAATTGCGCTTACATAAAGTAATGCACAGTTGTTATAGTAAAATTTGTTCATTTTTCTATGGCATATTTGTCTTTTTTAAATTACTATCGTTGTATTTAAATTAATTTTATTTCAGTTAGAAAATCTTTGTTAACAGCTTACGTTAAGAACAATAACAAAAATATTGTATTGCTATAAAAAGACTTTTTAATATTTACTATTGTTTTGCAATGGTAACAAAAATTTTGTTATTTCCCTTAAAAAGAGGGGGAAAGGGCCAGCGCTCTCCTTGGTGAACATAACTTTATAATTCACAGTCTGTGTTATATTATTATTGATTTCACTTGTGCGAGTGAAGTGTGGTAAAATCTAGCATGATAAAAATATCAAAAAGGTCACTAAGAAAATTAAAGTTTCGACGTTTTCTAAAAGAAATATTTAAGGTCTATTCTATAAACGAAGCAGACTTGTTGTTTAAAAAGTGAGTTCATATTTTTTTATTTTTTACATCATATAATATGAGTTAATTTTTTTGTTATAATAAATAATTTGTTTTAATGCCTTACAATTATTTAAAAAAAACTACCTAACACCCAACAGGAGGTTGAAAATGTGACCATTGTTACAATGAAAATAGTTTATTGAATTAACAATTACTTTATTGTTAAATTTACATAAATTTTATTAATATCATAAAAAAAAGTTTTATTTTAAACGAAAAGGGATTTGTAAAATTTTAAAAATTTCTATGAATAATACCATTAGGGTTTCATTAATACTACAAAACGGTTTTGTAAACGGTATAGAACTGGCATTTTTGGAGAAATAATAATAACTATATTTATCAATGCGTTTCTGCATCTGAAAAAGTGTTCTTCTAATAAACATAACTTAAATTTACTTTATAATTAATGCAAATGCTTATTCATGGTGGTCAAAACTTAAGTATAGGACGAATAAAAATGCCAACCAAAACTGAGAGCATATTTTGATTATAGACCCAATTGGTAACACTAACATGTATTTATCAAAATCCCAGCTGATCCTATTTTAAAGTTTTTTGTTTTTCTATTTCTATATATTATTTTGCAATTATTGTACTAAAACTACCTGTTCAATTTTAATAAAATTAAGCAAAATAATAAACTTTGTATCATTTAAATGACTTTACTCCCCAGTATTAATTTATTGAGTCACCTATTATTTTTTACCACTCAAAACAAAACATAACAAAAAAAAACGAAGATTTATATCTTAAATATTTTTTATAACAAAAAATACTGGAAGTTTGTCTATGAAATAATTACAACTTGCAAATTTTGTAAAACAATAATTAAGGTGGTTATGAAAAAAATTGCTTTACGTTATAACGCAAGTGACATTTTGCTTTAGTTGTTTATTTAATGTATACTTTATAAAGTTAAAAATAGTATTTTAAAATGAAAATTAAACCGAAATTCAAGTTAAGCCATGAAGAAAATCGAAAGAAGGTATGTGCTGGCTGTGGAGACAAAATTGTTTTTGGTAATCGAAAAATTCAGAGTTTAGGGTTTCTGAGAAAATTAAAAATTACTGCAGACTTTTTTAAACGAACACTGTAACTTAAGTGATTTAAAATTACCTACTTCAATATGGTAAAAACGGTATTTTTGCATAGCCACAATTGCCAAATTTTCAAAATTTATAAATTGCTAGAGAATTTCGCGGCAGCCAAGAATGTATGTGCTTTATCTGAAAAATGGCAAGATATAAAGGGCATAAAAAATTATTAAGGGAAGAGGACGGATGAACGAACTAGAGTTTTGATATGCTCTTCCTTTTTAGGGGATATCGCTAGATGTAAGAAGCATGTTTGTACAGAGACTGAAGAATTTAAAAATACTGTTTCCATATTAAAAACAATTCCATGTAAAACCCAAGAAAAAGTTTTTCTGAAAATTCAAGGCAAGCAGTAATCGATTTTGCTTCAAAGAATTTTTAGTTATTTATTAGTTTTGTATTATAATATAGGTACCTTAAAACAATAAATAAGATATTGCAAACTGTATTTTACATTATTTTGTATTTATAATGTAATTTATCCATATTTCAGTCATTTATCTGCCAAATTTTTAAAAACATTTGATAATGGTACTAGAGAATTTTATCGAAATGGCATAAACAATTTTAAAATACTAAGAAATATGCAAAACTTTAATAAAGGATCAGCTGGGATTTAGATAAATACATTTTTGTATTACCAAAAGAGTCTATAATCAGATTATGCTATCAGTTTCGGTTGGCATTTTTGTTCGTCCTATACTTAAGTTTTGACCATCGTGTATTACTGAAAGCAACGTTTGTAGATAAATAATTTTTATAAAAATGATCTTTTTGCCGTAACAAAAGCAATTGTTGCAACAATTGCTTTGTCCATGGACGAATATGGATCTTTACTTTATTAAGACAAACTTTTTTGATAAATTTGAAAATCGATTCATTTTGAAATTCTCTTAAATTTTCAACAATCAGTTCAGTTTTATAGAGGCACTCATTGTCCCGTCCTGGTATCGATTTGGATGCCACGTTTTTATAAAGCAGAGTATAACATAAAGTTTGGTATCTTACTTATGGGTTAGGGGTCCTACAAAGGGGTTGGCCAATAGCTGTACAAAAGCTTTGGAGGCAAACATAATGCCCACAGCTACCGTTTCCTGAACCAAATCTTTATGTTTCGCTTCCCTTAGGGCGGCTTCTGGGTCCAACGTTGTATAGTTTCCTGGAATCAAGAAAATTTAAAGATGAATTATTGTTTTTAATTGTAAATAAAATTCAAGAACTAAATCGTTGCATTTTCATGTTTTGCCTAAGGATCCAATTCGATAAGTATATTTGTTGGTGTATAATTAACTAATGATAACTTTACCTAATATAATTTATATTTAAGTTTGGACATTTTTAAGAAATTAGTAAAAAATTATTTTTGCACAAACTTAACCTTCAAATCAACCATTTTTATATTTGAGTTCTCTAAAAAACGCCTGCATTTTAAACAACAAAATATACCTACGAATTCATGGCAACATAATATTATATATGGGTCATTTTCAAGAAACACCCGCTTTCAGCAAAATGGATCAAAATATTTTTTTCTTAAATTGACTTTTGGTTGGATTTTTATAAATGTTTTGTTTACTTACATTTAAGACAGGCAGTGCACTTTTTAATTTTTTTACGTATTTTCAGAAAAATGTGTTTAGCTAGCTTTATATATCTCCATTACCAATTTGGAATCCAAAATTTAATTCAATAAAAAAAGTTGTTATAAAAATAATTTGAAATAAAATGTACTTAGTTCACAAACTTTTGACTCCAATTTTTTATTTTATTTTTTATTAAAAATTGTATGCTTTTTTTTAAATATGTATGTTCGTTAAGTTACTTTTTAAAAGAAACCATTCCGATTCTTTGTTAAAAAAACAATACCATTAATATTTTCTTTTAGTCACTGTATTAGTGAATTAAACTCTAATTTATAAACACGTATTACCAAGTGATAGTGTATAAAAATCATTTTAAGTATTTTTTTAACAAAAACTAAAAAAAGTAACGAAATAGACATTGGTATCACAACGGACAGGGGTACACAAAGGACTTAATCAGATAACGTAAAAAAGAAACTATATAGGGCACGATTTTAGAGTAATGCATAAACAAAATCCCTTGTAGTGGTGCTCACTTGCAGAATAACAACTTAGATTTCTAAATTGTAGACACCCTTTTTCTTTGACTATAAGCTGGTGAAGGTCCCTTTTAGTACTTTTATATTGCGTGGAATTTTTCCTTGGATGTAATCTATATCATGAGTTGTAATTACAAATAATTTTAAATTGGTTAATCATAAACTACGACGGTAAATATCCACTTTGTTGTCGAAAAATTCTATTGCGTTACCCTAAATTCCATTGCGTTACCATAAGGTAACATAGTGGACTCGGGTAACGCAGTGGACAAAGTTTTGTAAAACCATATTTAAAAAATAATAATAAGACATTATAGTCATTAATTACTCTCAATGAGCTTTAGTGCCCTAAAATAAACATAAACATGAAAAATAGTATTTTTTCTTACCTTATTTTTATTATTTTTTTGAGTAACTTAGCGGACAAACTATTATTACATTCGCGTTACCAGCACTTGTTTCAACCGACATCTTCTTCCTGATTGAATAAATAAATTCAGCTGGGTAATGCGTACGTCCGAACATCATTTGTTGATCACGTGAGTACCAAAAAAGTTGCCATATATATGTTTTTTTTTAATATTCTATCGGTAACGCGACGGACGTAACGCAAAGGAAAAAATGTCTGGGACATGAGTCAAATTTAAAAAAAGTAGATTAAAATTAATTATTTTATACATAAATTGTTTACTGTATTAACTAAGGATGTTATGGATTGCTATAAAGCAACACAAAGTTCTGGTTATTCAATATTTAAAAATAAACATGTATGTAAGTTTTATAAAACGCTAATGGGACATGCGAAAATGTGTGTTTCACAAGTTTCAAAATTAAAAAAAAATTCTGAAATAACTAAACAAAAATTTTCTGAATCAACGCTTTTAATAATGCTAAATGCTGTTTGAATTTAGACGACTTATTTGTTTGACGATTTTTACTGAATTGAAATGTTTACACATTACTAAAATGTGATTTATTGTATTTAATAGAAACAATTTATATTTACAGGGACGGTATAAAATTTATTTCTTCATTCGGATTAACACTGTTTATTGGAAAAGCGGTAAAAACAACCCAGGATTTCCTCTCGAAATACACCCAACAACCCAACAAAACGTGCCACGTTTTTATTCTCAAAAACATTCGTTTGTAACATAAGCGTTTGACAGCTGATTAATAAAAGTTGTACTTTTGTTACGATGATAACGGTCAAGTGGTGGCGCTACTAGCGATGCTTCTTTAGCGTATAGTCCATTGCTTTTAATTACCAAGTTTATTATGCATTTGCTTACCATATTCTGTAGGCGATACTGAAGTTGTGGAATAGTTGAAGTTGTCATTGATGTTTCTTGCACAAGGGCTCTGTGTAGTTGTAGTCGTGGTAGTAGTTACTCTTACTCTTCCGTCCAGAGGGGCGTCAGGATGATTGATGTCGTATAAAAACTCCGGGATAATGGGAACTGAAATTTATCAAGAAAAAAAACTTAATTAACAAAAAAAAATCGGTTTACCCCAACATTTTAGCATTCTTATTTTGCTACAATCATCACTGCACAGAAAAATGTACATGCACTGGTAATGGAACTAATTTTTTAAGCGATTAATAATAGTTATTTATGTCATTAGGTTAAGAAGTAAGGCTTTTTGTGCTAAGCTCAAGGTTTGAGCGAAGTACAAAAAGGCACTTCTTGGCCGAATGGCATACAACATTTTATCTTCAAAGCACTTTATATAGGTCAGTTTAATTCAACATCAAAGCGGCCTAACCTCACTTTTTTAGAATCCCATTTATTTATTAGCTAAAGATTACATTAAATGTACAATAATTATTATTGCTTTTAGAAGCAGTAATAGTATGACAATACCTAGCTACATGATTTAAGTATACTATAGAAATGGATTTTTGCTATTACATTGAACTCAATTAATTGTTTAATAAATAGGTAGGTATCTAATTTCAATTTTTTGGATTTTTATTTAAAAAATAGGTAGTTTGGAATGTTTGAGCTGTGTTTAACATTTAATTTCACTAAAAACTTAAAGCAAATTAAAACTTAAAGATAATTTAAATCGTAGAAAAAGAATCGTGCGTTTTCTTGGTTGCCTAACCTCACTTTTTGTTTTATTATTCATATTTAATTTTACAATAATTTAATGAAAAATATTAAACATTAACAGTAAAACAAACAAATTAGTGCTTATTATAAATAAATTAAACCACCCAAGCAACACACTCATTTGCATAATCGTTTAATAAACGTATAATAAACCATTTAATCGTATATTTTTGGTTTTGGTATAATAATTTAACATATATTAAGCGTTTTTTATAAACGTACATATTTCAGTCGTATATTCTACGTACTTGATATACTATTTTAAAATCATAAAATTATCAATTTAATATATAAATTTATATTAATCACCCAATTACGAAGGCGTAGAAGGGACAATTACACTAAATTCATTTTTACTATTTAATTCTGCGTTAGCTAACACAGAATTAAATCCGCCATATTTAATTCTGCGTTAGCTAACACAGAATTAAATCCGCCATATTTAATTCTGCGTTAGCTAACACAGAATTAAATCCACCATATTTAATTCTGGGTTAGCTAACACGGAATTAATTGCATTTAATTCTGTGTTAGGTAACGCAGAATTAAATATGTCGGATTTAATTCTGTGTTAGCTAACGCAGAATTAAATATGGCGGATTTAATTCTGTATTAGTTAACGCAGAATTAAATATGGCGGATTTAATTCTGTGTTAGCTAACGCAGAATTAAATATGGCGGATTTAATTCTGTGTTAGCTAACGCAGAATTAAATAATAAAAATGAATTTAGTGTAATTGTCCCTTCTACGCCTTCGTACCCAATCTATATATATATTATAAAAACAACTATAAAGCATGTTTATGAAATTGGAATTATTTACCCTTATCAAATTTGTTTACATTCAAGTGTTTTGTAAACGTTTTTTTATATATATATTTTTATGTAAGCTCAACGTCTCAAAATACGAGAAATCTACGTCTATAAATTTTGTTGTTGTTGTAAGCCAAGTAATATTTAAATGTATTTATCACCGCTAACAAATTTGTTAGCGATAGAAACAATGTTTATGTCATATATTAGCTGGATATTTGATTTTGTACCTAAATAAAAATAAAGTTGTCTATCGTTTTCCTAAAAATAAACGTTACTTATAGGTACCAATAATTTTCTACGTGGTTCAGTAACTGAACTTCAGTTTTCATAATACTTGTATACATATGTTCATGGTTCGCACTGTTTCGGTATTACTCGTAACTAAGACGATTGTTTAAACCAATAGGCGCGTGTCACGTGATCATTCCTTCTAGACGCTTCGTTTTGCCGTTACCGGTCACATGTGTCCTGTGTTGATAATGGCTGCCGTATAAGTTATGTTTACTGTTTACTGTGAGTGGATAGCGATTAATTTATTGTATTGTTTGGTGGGAATACAGCTAATAAAGTAAGTATATACCTACTTTAATTGAAATTTCAGATTACTTAATTTGCACCAAATAACTAATAGGTAATTGGTGGTTTTATTTGACGAAGCCGGCAAAAATCCGTAACCTTTGCAGAAGTTTTAACCATGCGAAATATACGTTTTGCATTAAATTAGATGGTTTATTTTTGGATTAGGTTAACATCACTTTAGAATTTTTAAAATAATCAATATTTTTTATTTTTTTAAAGATCTATTATTGGTTTATGGTATACTATTTATAAACGTACATTATAACCACTTATTTATTATATTTTTATTTTACCACAGAATAAAAAGTTAAAAGTTATTTAAAATATATGTAAACAGTCGTACTTTTTAGTAACATTGTTTTTTACTGTTTTACAGAGGCAGTGAAACTGTCCTTTCAAGGAAAAGATCAAGTCCAGGGAAATAACTGACAAAGCCATAGGACAAGCCTGTCAAGATTGGCTCAAATTATCAAAGCAATGATTCAATGATGATTTGTTTAATTAGTTATTTTAAAATATTAAATAATTATTTATGAAAATATATTTGTCATCTGCTCAGTTTCTTTATAAACTTTTTTTTTACCTTGGAGTTACTACTACACTTAGGTAAGTTTTTGCAAATCTGGAAAGAATATGCCTCACTTAAATTAAATGCAAAGAATAAATATAGTAAATTTTACTGTAATTTTAATTATCAATGCATTGATAACCGTAAAACCATGCATGGTTTTACGATTTTAATTTAATGAAAATGGAATTATTAGAGCTAAAAATATTAAAAAATCATTCAAATGTAAAAACTTTTGTTTTTATTTTCTTTTTCCAGATTAGCAGAGCCGCGGCCTAAACAATAATGTTATGTAAAAAATTTCACCTTAAAATAATATTCAATATTAACGTATATCGTTTATGGCTTTTAGAAGTTTTTGATAAACGTTTAATTTTGGTATATTATATATTAAAATGTAACCTTTATAAAAAACAGATATTTAACTGTCAAGTTTGTATTATAAATAAACGTATAGTGTAGACGTTTAAAATATGGATATTGCTATAATGCATCAACCTATATTAGGCGGACATTTTAACCTATATTAGAGGTAGACAATAAACCAATGATATACCATTGGTATAGACAAATATTAAACGTCTATTAGACGATTTTGTGTTGCTTGGACAGTTTAAAACGTTAATTTCTTAGAAAAGGATTAATTTGTCAAAACAATACCCCTAGCGAGAAAAAATCGAACTAATTACTTGCCTCATAAAAGTTTTAATCGGCCTAGGCCATAACAAGGTATTTCTTTATCGAATGTTGACAACAATAAAGTTTAAATTATAGACCGCGTGGAGATAAAAATAGTTTATTGAATTAACAATTAATTTGTTGTTAAATTTACATAAATTTTAATAATATTATAAAGAAAGGGAATTGTAAAATTTTTCAAAATTTCTTTGAATAATTGGGGTTTCATTAATATTACAAAACGTTTTTGTAAACGGTATAGAACTGTTTTTTTGGACAAATAATAATATTATCAATATTATCAATATTATATAATAATAATATTATCAATGAGTTTCTGCATCTGGAAGAGTGTTATTTTTATAAACATAACGTAAATTTACTTTATAATTAATGCAAATGCTATTACTGAAAGCAGCGTTTTTGGAAAAATAATTTTTATAAAAATGATCTTTTTACCGTAAAAAATTGTTGGACGAATAGGGATGTTTATTTTATTAAGACAAACTACTTTTTTTGTTATATTTATTAAAAAAGTGTGAATCTAAAAAATCTGCATCTGCTTATTTTATATTATAATTGCTAAATTTTTTCCGGTAAAACTAATATATATTTTAAACATTTAAAAGGCTTTTCTTCCTAAAACTTTCAAAGTTAAAGCAGGGGAAATAAAATTGGTTCCATTCTAATTAAAAAATGCTGCAGCTTACAAAGTTTTCGAAAGCTTATATAGTTTGTAAAAGAAGGGTGAATAATATTCTATAGGTTTAAAGGCAATTTCATCTTAATAGTATATTAAGTGTATGTATCAAGTTTGATAAACGCACGAGCGAGTGTTTAATTAAATGAGTGTTTAATTAAATGATAAAGTTTATAAACGAGTGGCATACTATCCTTTCTAAAAATGAATTAGCGAAAAAGCAGCCACTAATAATTCTCGTCAAAAGCAATTTGTATGCAATTTTGCATTCAATTTTCATGTAAAATAGTCCCCTGAATCCGAAAATGTCGTCAAAAGTTATAAAAGTAGAAGTAGTTTTTAAGAAATAGTCAATTTTCAATATAATAAAGAATTGACTATATCTCAAAAACTGCTCTACTTTCATCAATTTTGATCATATTGGTAGTACAGTTCATTTTTTTTTAACTGGACTCGTGTTTTTTTGTTATGTTGGTGGCTTATGCCAGTTTGACTTAGTATTTTTAGTATCTAAAGTTGGTACTTCTGCTAAAGAATTTAATTAAATACTTTGACATATTATTTATTATTGATAATTTACTTGTCAATTATAAATAAAAAGATAATTATGCCAAAAATAATAGCAACGAATTCGAATGTAAAAGCCCTTTTGAGGGCAAAACTTCATTTTGATGAAATTATGCCAAATGCCACAATGGAAGAAAAAGTACAATGCCTTATGGACATTTTTGGAGTAAAAATTATTTTCACATTATTCACCATTGGACAACATTTACGTTCACAAAAAATTTTAATTTCTTTTATATAAATTCTTTTCAAAGCGAACATTATTATCCGCTAGGAATACTTTCACTTCTGGGCCGTAAAGCAACCTATATTTAACTACTTTTTTATATGATTTTACTCATCCAAGCACCACCAAAGCCAAATTAATTGCATTTTTAACTACAAATTTCGACAACTCAACTTGACAACTGGACAATGTAACCTACAATAATTTAT